TCGACTTGATCACAAAGGCCACGGAGGAGGACCGGAACAAGAACTTCGAGGAGGCCGTCAAACACTACGATCAAGCCATCCAGTACTTCATCCACGCCATTAAATGTTTGTTTTTACCTTTTATTTAACTGTTCCACTAGTTTATACAGTTTTTAAGAATTGGATCTGAGTTTTCTATTAGAAATTACCAATTTTAGACGAGGCCCAAGGCGAACGTCAAAAGGAGACGATCCGGCAGAAGGTGGAGGAGTACCTGAAGAGATATCAACAGGTTCGTCATCGGATTTTATGGATTTTGGTTTTATTATGTTCTTTTCACGGCTGTTAACACACAGTTTCTTTTTTAGATAAAAGAATTCCTGAAGGACAGCCGGGAGGGCAAGAAGGTGAAAGACAACGGGGGCAAGGACGGCGACGACAGCGATGAAGATGTCGAAAAGAAGAAAATGCAGGTAACGAAATCGCTATCGGGTCTTTATTGAGTTTGTTTTTGCTTGTTAGCGTTTGCTTTCTCTGGAAATTTAGTTTGCAGCGTTTTCTGACTTGGAAAGGTTGAAAACGCATTTTGTTACTTTTTAATACTATTAGTTTTTTTGAGAATATATTTGTTTCAATCGAAGAAAGTAGAAAGATATTTAGGCCTAAGGTCTCGCTTAGGCAACCAAATTCGCGACTATGAATTTGTGACCGCTTTTGGTAGTATTATAATATTTCGAGCGCAATCGCATCCGTTCGTTTCAGGACAAACTACAAGGTGCCATCGTGATGGAGAAGCCGAATGTGAAGTGGACTGACATCGCCGGGCTCGAAAGTGCGAAGGAGGCTCTGAAGGAAGCCGTCATCCTGCCGATCAAGTTCCCGCAGCTCTTCACAGGTTTGTTTTCGAGCGTTTTTGGTTTTGGTGGTATTGGCAGTGTGATACGATTAAAATTGGCAAATTCCAGTCTTTTTCTTGGTCTTTTCTACTTTTAGCTTTTTTTAACGGGATTTTGATTGATTTTTAATATATGGAATAAGCCCTAGACCATTTTTTAGTTTTGTTTCTAAATTCGGTAATCGCAAAATTGATTTTCGGTGGCTATCGGTTGGCCTTTCCCCCTTTTATTTGGGCAGTATTAATTATTCGATAAGGTTTACTTAACAACTAGATAATATAATTGTTATGCGGCCTAATAGCGCGCTTTCACTTGGTTTTGTTAAAGTCGGTTTTGTCTTGCGGTTTTTAGCAACATTTGTATCTATAGGAATCATCATCTCGACCTTCTTTTTAGTGCTTTTTGAAAACTGTAGAGTCACTTGGTTAATGTTTGCTTTTTCTTTCGGGCCGATTAGTAATAGATTTAAATCAGTGTTCACGAAGTATTTGCAATCATTTATTAGAGGATCAATCTCAAGAAAAAATTTAAACATCTGGTGCACATATAGCCAAAAAGATAAGTAATAGCGGGTGAAATAATACACTACTGACTGGGCCTCGAATAACCGTAGTCGCTGCTGGTCCGTATGGGCTGTGGGTTTGTGCGTAAATGGGGGTCTGGGCGGGCGGGGAAAATTGAAATACTATTCTAAGGTACTTTCATTTCATGATGAGCTGGATGTTTGTTGCTGGAGAGCTTTTTTTGGCACCGGGGGAATGTGGGGTTTGGCGGGCGTTAGGTTTTATTCGCTTCTGGGAATTTTAAAATTTGGGGTTTCCTATTTTGTTTAAATTTTTTTCATAAAATTGCTATTCCCGGCAAAATTTTTGAATTTTAGAATTTGATCGGGAAAATTCGACTCATCTCTATTAGAATCTGGCGCCTGTCCTTTTGAAACAGACCTCTCTATTTTTTTTCTATACATTTTGAAATCCTTATTGTCACGCAAAAAAGGCAAAAGAGGGAATAGTTATATGAGTTGGGCCTGGGCTGCGATGTTGTGATGTTGGTGGTAGCCGGCGGTGCCAGCTTTGTGTGCCCGCGCGGTGAGCGTCATGTCCTCCTCCTTCATCATGAACAGCGAGGCCCCGTAGAGCACGGGCGAGATGAGCACCTAAAATTGTTTTATAGGATTTTTGCGAATTTTTAATTACAAAATATTTAGAATTTTTGCGACTTTTTAATTACAAATTATATAGGGTTTTTGCGACTTTTAATTACGAAATTTTCCTAAGCTTTTTTTGCCGATGTTTTGAAAACTTGAAAACCCCTTGAAAACTCACATTCGTGAACGCGACGCACATGGCGATGATGGGTACATTTGAGCCGTCCCGCTCCACCCTCCACCAGCCTGTCGTTGTCACCAAATAGAAGGGAAGCTGGTAGAACGGTCTAAAAATTTTATTTTACTTTTTTAAGATTAAGATTAAAAAAATTGATTCTTTTAAAGAATATTTTTGGCCTTCCTTACGTTATCAAAAAGGCGTAGACAAGCCATCGGCTCTTGTAGAGGCCGATGGACTGGAAGACGATAGGGCTGTGGTAGAGAATGCCGAGCACCCGTACGTAGGCATAGGAGGAAAAGAGGACTGGGAAGAACACCTAAAAATGTTTTTTATTTGATTGCGCCAAATTAAAAATAATCTAGGGGTTTAAAGCTAAGTTTAGGCTCATTTTTCAACCCAAAACTTACGCCAAGAATGAGCACGTAGGCGAGGAATTTGATCGCCGAGTCGCTGTGCCCCCAGACGCAGCTTCTCATATTCGGGTCGTAGACGACGATGTGGCCTAGAAATTACGAGTTTTTGTGATTTTGGGAGCGTATGAAGCTGTTGTTGCCCCTTTAAACACTCGCGCTCAATCCACCCGTTCCTCACTTACCATTCGTGACAGCGGGCAGCGCGAGCAGTACGGAGATCACCCACGAAAGCACGCAGATGACCTTCGGCGCCAGCCCGAACAACTGCTCGTAGTGGATCCGTGCGAACGTCAACAAGTGTACGCCAGCCGTGCACAGGTGCATCGCGGCCATCACCGTCCAGACAGTGCACACGAGTAGTGTCTAAAAATCTGCGTAAATTCTGCTCTTTCTTCCCTCTCAGCTTTTCCCAGCCCCTTTAAAAATAGCAACGCGCTTACTCTTTTTTTGCTATATCCTCGCTCGCTAGCCAATTTTGTTGGCCCCGATCGAGACGCTAGATTAGCCGGCATTCAAGCGGGCCCAACCCGGCCATTCAAGTGCAGAAATCTCGTTGAAAAGCCCTCCGACCCCCCGTTGGCCCGCTCAAAAATTACGGGCACCGAGCACAACCCGACGGTGGGCCCTTCGTGGACCCGAAGGTCTCCTTGCTCCCCCTCAATTATCTGCTACGTCCCGTCCCTCGGTCTCGTGTTGCTAGGAGACTTTGCGTTTTTTAGGAGCTTCCGCCCTTAGCCCTCCAGCCCGCACTACCCCCACCTGCGCCAGCTGAAAATAGGCGCGCGCTTGTTGGGATCTCGTTAGCGGGGAATGAGAGACGAAGTTTTTTGGGGGGCATTCTGAGAGCGCGGGTCACGAGTGGAAGAAGGTTAGAGCTAAAAATATCAATGGCGTGGGATGGACGTTCTTCTCTAATAAGGAGGGGTTTTTAGGTGCTTTTCGAGCTTTGTAATGTGACATCGCTCATTCGACAGAGCTTGAAATTCTGAACAAATCCCATCTTGCAAAAGTTGCTGTGGGATAACGGTCTTCGAGAATCTGTTTATCAAAATTCGCATTTTGTTAAGCGGGGCTCAAAAACGGTCAAAATCGTCCTTTCAGAGCCAATTTTCTTGAAAACCGGTGTCTTACAGCAATTTTTTGCAAACTGGGACTTGTTCAGATAAATTCAAGCTCTATCGAATGAGCTATGTCACGACGCAAAATTCGACGATTACCGAAAAACCTTCTTACCTAAATAATAATCACCCCGCCAAGAATTCACCTGTATCCGGCACATGTAATGGCTCTCCTCCCAAATGTTGACCCCGGTCCACAGTGTCCACGCGTACATCGGGATCACGATAAAAATCGTGAAAATGTTCGTGATGCAGAGGTGGCTGATAAAGTGGGACGAGATGAAGTTGTGGTAGAGCTTGTTGACGAGAATGTAGATGAGCAGCGTCAGATTCAGCCCCAAAGCCACTAGCGACAACCCGCCCAGCACAAGGGCGGCAATTGGCTTCGCCTCGCTGCGGTGATGCGTGGCATTGTGATAGACCTGAATTACGGGTTTTAGAAGAGAAAGAAAGGAAATTGTTCTAAGTACGAGTTTAAGTAATAGTCGCACCTTCAAAATGTCGTCCGTCGAGTTGGCCTCGGTGATGATGTTACCCGTCATGGCGGCCGCGAGGCTGCCGCCCGCCGTTGCTTCTTGCTGACTGCTCCCGGCGATGAATAATCCGATCGTTTCACTCAGCTGATCATAGAGCGTCACCAGCGGGCTGTAATTGTCGGTTTAGTCAGGTGGCCATCGATTTTGGTCCGGGTCCCTAGCGGTTTTTGAGGCTTGCCGACTATAAGACCTACTTTGGGAGCGAATTCTGGCCTCATTAGCGGGTCGGTGATTAGCGTGCGAAAACGGGGAGCCGCGAATTCACTGGGGAATTTTGGGGAATTAGATCGGGAAGGTTTTGTATCAATTGAGCCGATAAAGGAATTTTTTTCGTTGTGGTTTTTGGAGAATTTTTTTAAGGTTTTGTAAATTCTATTTTTAAAAATTTTACCTGATCTCAAAACGTTACGGCGAAATAACTTTGGATAGCATCGAAAGAAAAAGCCTCTAAAGAATTAAACCGTTTTGAAAGTTTATTAAATTTTGAGGTTTCTGATTTTTCGATTGATGCCAGAAAATGATCATCAACGCCAGTTGGGACCTGTTTTTACGAGAAAATGAATAGATAAATGAATAGAAAATACATTAAAACGATGACTCAGACTGATTTTTTTTTGCGAAATCGAACCCCGAGAACCAAGAGAAGATCGAAATCCCTTGACCAACCTGAGGATGCGGTAGACGGGCGAGCGGGTGAGCGCCTCCAGGCCTGCCGGTTGACTGCGTGGCAATGTTCAGCTTCAGCAGCAGCCCGGGTGCCCGAATACAGCTCGCTCTCCTCGTCCCGCAGCTCAGCCAGCTCTCAGTCGTGCCCGTGATCTCGAGGTTCGGCCGGTGCCCAACGGGAAGAGAGGCGGTCTGCTCCGACAAATGTTTGGCAGCTGGAGGGTGGTGGCGGGTTGGCTGGCTGGCTCTAGTCGTCCAAGGGCCCCAGCCAGAGACCCAGCCTCCTCCTCCTCCTCCTCCCCGTTGTGCCCCCCTTTTCCAGCCACGCCCCAACGATCGATGGGTTGGGGCTCGCGACCAGGGTTTTTCTGCTGTATGTGTGTGAGGAGTGGGGGCTCCTTCTCCTCTAGAGCCCAATGGGGAGGGGGAGCCTCTGCTCTGTGTCCATCTCGTGCTCCCTTTGCCGATCTGTTTGTCGGCTCGTGAGTTTGTGTGTGTTCCACCAGTAGGGCCCTTCAGCCCTCAAAAAGGCGGCCGGAAGCCGAGGCGGGCACCAAAGTTCCGCGGGATCTTGAACTCGAAAGCGCGTTCTCCTTCTCAGGCATCCGTCAGTGGAGCACCATCACCAGAAAATGCGAATTATCGGCGTTGTCCCGACGAGATACCATCCCAAAATCATTTGCATAGAAACCTCATTTAAATAGAAAATTATCCCTTTTCCTATTTCCTATTCTTGTAAAATTTTTGAGATCATTTATGCAATTTACAAAATGAGTTCAAGGGCCAAGCCTGCCGTAGAAAAATCGCGCGATTTTTCCTATGCAAATAACTTCGGGATGCTGCTTTTCAGGATGCTGCCCATAATTCCCACCCCGTCTTCTAACCAAATTCCGGAAGAGCCGGCTAATTAGGGCGAGGGCAGATGCGCGCGTTTCGCTGCCCCCCCCCGCCCTTGCCCTCCACGGAGATGGAGCGCTTCTGGGAATGACATGGGAAAAGGAGATGCCGCGTGTGCTTCTGGAAGGAGAGAGAGGGAGAGAACCCAAAAAAAAAGAAGGAGATCATATGGATGGCCCATTGGGGCCCACGGCTAGCTAGCCCACCTCGACCCTCGGCAACGTGACTTTTGAGCCCGGAAATCTGGAAAGTGTGTAAAATGGATTCGGTGACGAGAAAAATTCCTTTTAAGTGCTGTTCTGTAAAATTATAATTAAGCTGATTAACGGATTTTTAACAAGGAGAACTTAGCGAATCTTTACCACACCTCCACCAGCCAGACCTCGCCGAAATTGTCGGTTTTCGCTAATTTTCGGGATTTTTTCAAGGCCATCTGATCGAGCGTCAAAAAATATATACTAGGGGTTTTCAATACATTAAAAATAATGTCATTTTACAAAATTTAGTGCATAATTAAAAATTGAAAATCTGATATGTTAAAGGTGCCAATCGGCAGAGCCTTGAAAAATCTACGCAAGTTTTCAATTTAAAGTAATGTAGTATAACCTTTTTCTAATCGATTTTTTTCAGGAAACCGAAAACCCTGGCGGGGAATCCTGCTCTTCGGTCCACCCGGTACGGGAAAGTCCTTCATCGCCAAGGTTAGCTCGCTTTTCCGCTTACGCATACCTCTAATTTAGGCAGTCGCAACCGAGGCCGGCAACTCGACGTTCTTCTCGATTTCTTCCTCGGATCTGATGAGCAAATGGCTGGGTGAATCAGAAAAGTGGGTTTTTGGCCGGGGTGACGCTATTTTCTCTTACTTTTAAGATCCGGGGCACTGCCCCAATGCTGTCGCGCTTAATTGGGCCCTCACCTTTTTTTGAGCAGCGCCTGAAGGGGTTATTTGATCTCTGAATTCTCCCTCTCCCCGTCCCACTTCCCTAACCAATCCACTCGACCCTTCGGGGGGCATCTGGCCAAATGGTAGCCTCCGTTCCTCCCCTTTTTCGTCGTCGCCGTAATTAGGGCCTCTTCAAAAATGGAAGGTTTTTTCGGGCCCCGAGGAAAGGTTGGGCCACAGAACGGGGGGACCCTTCGCTTTTGGATGCCGAGACGGCAGCACTCCTGGCGTCACCCGCAACGAGGGGAGGAGAGCAGCGCGTTTTTTCTCTGGGCCCTTGTTTGGGCTGGGAGCGGCCGGCCGGCCCGTCGGCATCCTGAGTGCATCCTGCCTTATGCTGAGGTTTTTGGAAGTGAGGGTAAAGCGCGCCAGACTCCCCGGGATGTGCCCCTACCCGGTTGAAATGCATGAATTGGAAGTGGGCCTCGTCGTAGTGGCCCCCATCGAGACGGATCGAATTACACACAGTGCGCGCTGTCCATCCACTTATCCCTCACTATAAATTTGCGGCTGTCTGGAGAGGAAATGACAAATAGGCTGGTAGACATAATTATAAAGACAGTCAATGATGGTAAAATCTCAATTTCTAGTCGTTTTTAAGAAAACCTCAATTAAGACCTTATCCGCAGACTTGCGAATTATGAAAAAATTAAAAACTTTAAAAATCGGCTAGATATTTAGATTTTCGAGAAAAGTTGTTAGCCGGTTTTAAGAAAATCTTGCGATTAGATACATTCACATACTTTTGTTGTCAATTGCGAAAACAAACGAATGAAAAACTTTTAAAACCGGCTAGAAATTTAGATTTTCGAAAAAAGTTTTCTGCCCTTTTAATTATCTCACTAGGGTATACGTCAAAATATAAGCCTCCGATTCAACCTCAATTTTTCAGACTCGTCAAAAATCTTTTCGAACTCGCGCGCCACAACAAGCCCAGCATCATCTTCATCGACGAGGTATCGAAATTTTCCGTTTTCTTTCAAAAATTCCTTTTTTTTTAGATTGACTCTCTTTGCTCGTCACGCTCGGACAATGAAAGTGAGAGCGCGAGACGTGTCAAAACCGAGTTCATGGTCCAGATGCAGGTCATTTTCGCCCTGACGGCCGCATTAATTTCCGATCTTTAGGGAGTCGGGTTGAACAATGACGGGATTCTGGTCCTCGGCGCGACGAACATCCCCTGGATTCTTGACGCGGCCATTAGGAGGTAATTTCAGAATAGCTAGTTGTATTATTTTCTTTTGTCTTTAGACGTTTCGAAAAACGCATCTACATTTCACTCCCCGATCTTCACGGCCGCAAGGAGATGTTCAAGCTTGAGGTCGGGAAGAATAGGAACAATCTCAGCGATGGAGACTACAGGGTAAGCCTTCTTTTCGGTAAAAATTAGGCACTTTTTTTAGTTGTTAGCCGAGAAAACGGACGGGTTCTCCGGCTACGATATCAACATACTGGTGAAAGACGCGCTGATGCAGCCGATTCGACGGGTACAAACGGCCACGCATTTCAAAGTGGGCGCTCGGATTTCGGTGACTAATCGGGGTTTCGTTTTTAGTACGTCAGCGGCCCCGACTCGAACAACCCCGCCGTGACCGTGCACGACTTGCTCACCCCCTGCTCGCCCGGCGACCCGCAGGCGATGGCCAAGAGCTGGATGGACATTCCGCAGGGCAAGATTGCCGAGCCGCTCCTGACTATGGTATGCGAATTTTAGGAGATTCAAAACTTTATGGATTTCTCGGAATTGACGGTTTTATTCTCCCTGAATTAGTTTTCCTAAATGTATTCTTGCTAAGAACTTTTTTAAAACTAGAGGGAACTAGGGACCTTGAGCACCAAATTCCGTTTTTGGGGTGGTTTGAGTTGAGTAGAACCAGCTTTATTCTTATTTTTGATTGGCTAGTTACGTTAGATATAGCTAAATTTTATCAAAAATACTAAAATATATAGGGTGCCATTTTCAAAAATATCTGGTTTATTAAAAAATGTTTATTTTTCGCAATCGACAAGGCTGTCTTTTAGACTTTAAAGAATTTAGGAAATGCTTTTCAAGGAAAGGAATTTTATAAAAGATAACAGCTATTTTTTTGTCAGGGTGACCTGCAACGATCGCTGACCACCGTGAAGCCGACCGTCAACCGGGACGATCTCTCCCGCCTTGAGGGCTTCGCACGCGACTTTGGCCAAGAGGGCTAACCGACTGCCCCATGCCGCCGACGATCAATGTCCATATGCCAATCCCCCATATTCGCATTCAACCCAGTGTGTATCTATCAAAATGTCGTACACTAGTCCCCCCGGTCCCATTTTTGTTGTTTTTTAATTATTGCTTTTGGCCCGGAACTCTTCTAAAAACCCGCATAGCCCCTTTGGCCCTACAGCACGTGTGTTCCGCTCAATATTTTCGTTTTTGGGAAACTGAGTTCCGCGGAAATCCCTCGAGCTTCTTCCGAAAAACCGAAATCGGTGCGGTGGCTGGAGTTGTGCGAGATTTTGATACCTCAATACTTTTCGAAGTTAGGCCAAAACAATTGTCGGTTAGACTTAACTTTACCTCCCTCACCGGAAGGTCCGAAAATTTTCGACATTTCCGCTATTTTGTCGGGATTTTGGCTATGCGATTCGATAGAGCATCAAAAAATATACCAAGACTTTTAATTAGAGCCCAAAACAATGTAAAATAAAAGAGTTATAGCCGAAACCTTTTTGGGGGAACTTCCACCAGGGGGATAGGGAAAGTAAAGAATTGTCAAATTCCCAGCCACTCGCCTTCTGACTCATTACAGGTCCCCGTGATCCGCGAATCGTGTCCGATATTCCACATACATAGCCGCCTCGATCTGTTTTTTACACCAGCCCTCCGATTTTTGCGCCCTATTGCGAATCGTCCGCTTTCTGTACGGCTCTCCCCCCAACAGCGTTTCCTCCCTTCCGTTGTCATTACTTATCTATTCCAAACAGCCGCCATTTCTCCACCGGCCCTCTCCCCGCATCGGCGAATTTTGTAAATAGACGTGCCGATGGCCCATGCGTGTGTTCCTGTTTCTATAATTGTCGAATTCGGTGTATACAATCGTGGTTCAGTAAAGGCACTTAATGATGATACAGCTGAACAACAACACAATTCAAAATACGAATGATTCTCCCTAATCCCTTTTGCCCTTTCTTGTTTTGATCTCCTTCAGACGTTGCGAGACCGACTTTCCGCTCAGCGCCGTCGTGTCGTACTCGCTGAAGAAGTGGTAACAATAAGCCCCTAGGCCACAACTCTCACCGATTATCCTCGGGATCTTCCCCGGTCGACAGCACCCGCACGCACATTCTGGCGATGAACTAAGATTCGATAACTCATCTACCTTGCTCTAACTTACGTTAAACCAGAAGACGTTCAGCACGTAGAGCAACAACAACAGCCCGCCGATTATCGGAAACACCGGTGAATCCTGATTTCATTTGGTTTTAAGGATGTTTCTTGCAAACCTGTGGTCCAAGATATACACCGCCGTAGATCGTAGCGTAGAGTAGTTTGCAAGGGTACCAATATAGCCGGAAGATCATCCTGAAATTTTGTTAATTTCTTTGTGAAAAGAATTAGCTGGTTTTGAAATTTAGCTTACCAGATGATTGCGAACAGCTGCAAAAAGACCTTTCCGGTGATGTCGACGAGCGGGTAGTAGTCGCCATTAGTGCGCCGTTTCAGGTAGACGCACAGTTTGGCAAACTGGAAAAGAACTCTTTTAGAATTCAGCAGCTATCCATCGCTTCTCTCACTCTCTTTTTCTCTCTCTATCTCTCTCCCTCTCTCGCTTCTCTCTCGCAATCTGGCTCTCTCTCTCTCTCGCTATCTCTAACGAACGCTCTTTCCCTCTCTCTCTCTCTCTCTCTCTCTCTCTCTCTCTCTCTCTCCCGTCGGCCACGATACCTCCAACAGCGCGTCCGAGTTGTCCTGCAGCAAGAAGACGAGCGCCCCGGCCAGGGTGTAGCTGAATTTTGCATTCTTCGACTATCCTACTATCCTACTAACATCCTACAATTAGCATACGCCGGATGTTGCGGCTGCCTATATAAGGGAAGAGAGGTAGCGTTTCTCATTTTTTGTCATCGAAAATCGCGAGAATTATAAAGAAAATAGTGAAGAATATCGATGGGTAAGATTCGCAGCGGCTTTTCAGGTTGTGGTCACGTTAAGGTAGAAAGACTTACTTGTCCGCATAGGACAGCGCAAGGAGGAGAACGGCCACAAAATGGTGCAGAAGCATTATGATCGAATCCTGGCGCCATTGGTCCATGTAGAGCGTCGCCCAGACGGAGTGCACGTAGAAGCCCGTCTAATTCGAGCGGTTTAACGGTTTATTGGATTTCCAAGAGGATCTCTGCTAGCCGATTTGCTGACATCATGTCATAACGATGGTATAGATTCCTAAATGATGTCTGCTAACCTGCCTACTGGGTGGCTTTGTCCTTTTCTCAAAGAACAATTGCTAGTTGCTGTTTCTTGTAAATTTCCTTGGGGAAAATCGATTACCTGAATTGCATACAGTACGACGACCGACATATCGTATCCCGGCGCTTTGCCCGATTCCCAGCCTAGAAATACCTTCATTTTATTTTATTGACGGTGACAGCAAGAATTTGGGCACTGTACACTATCGAAAACCATGGATTAACTTACCCTCCCACATGATCAACGGATCCCGGAAGGTGTTCAGATGGTCGACGTGCAGGCCAGCGACGTACGCCCAGATTCCGCCGTAGTACAGCAACTTCCAGGCGGCTTCGGAAATCTTGTGCGCGACGAGCGGGCTGACGTGGTGATGGTGGACCCACCGCTAAAACAATATGAAGCTAAACAATTTGTCCCCCCGATAATGCAAAAGGGCCCGTCAAAGGCTCAATGGCTCTCGATTCGCTATATATTCTATCACCGCCGCCCCCTTGCGCCCGCCACAAAAGTTGTTAAATATATTGATTAAATAAATAACACGAACGCTAACCACATACCCCAACCGCATACTGCAGCGCGTAGCGGAGCACGGTGAAAAGCAGCGCGAGGGCGAGCACGGTGTAGATGGCCGTCGATGATATGGCCAGGCTTGATACATGGGCTGTAATGAGCATGAAAAAGCTACCAGATTCAGAGATACCGATGAAGGTTGACGTCAAAGATTCGCCGGGGTGTAGCTGCCAGTGGCGGTGAAGGAAATGGGTGATTGACTCTTTGCAGAGGCGTAGCTGAAGACAAAAGTCAAGACTTTTTAAAGATATAGTGATTGTGATAAAAATGTGCCTCCGCCCCCCGCTAACGAATAAGAACCGCAAAGCCGAGTATTCTAATTCATGTCTTACCCGTCCCTTTAAACACAAAGCTCCTGACCCAACGGCTATTATTTTCTCGCCTCCGCCTCACGGTCACATGGTTCGACCAGCCAGCCTGGTTGATGTCTTGCAAAGTGTCCAACCAGGGGCAAAGGTCGGGCAAACACTCGTCTACCTAGCCAACTCCGGGGGCCCACTTCCCCCTCCTACCCCCCCGATTATCCGTGTTTACCCCCCGACACACAGTCACATACAGACACAACTCGCGCCCCGCGCTGGGATACACCCTCAATGGCTACAACATACAACCATGAACAGGGCCTAGTGGTGTGGCCAAAGCTCAAATTCACTCCGCAACGATACGGGATCCGACTTGATAGCGGACTGGGTATAAGCTCCTTCTTAAAGGGTATGCGAACGCCTCTGTTGAGCCCCTTTCTAGGGGGCAGCTGGCAAATTGCCAAAAGAGGGAGAGAGCGCGCCCAAGGCGAGAGGCGCAGAGAAATCCCCTTTCCCTGGCGTAACCGATTTCCCTATGCCCGCGCATACCCCTTTAAAATAAACCAACTAAGCATCGAATTTTGGCAAGACGAGCACGCCATTCGACGCGCCTCGACAAGACGATTTTGATTCCCAATAAAATCAACCCGATCGCGACGGAGAAGAAAATTATGAGGCTTCTGGCTAGGTCATATGATCGAAAGAAGCAATTTTCAGGTATCAGGAAGGCCCAGTAGATCAGGGCTCATCTATGCTTGGCAACGAGCCAACGAGCAACGAGGCAGGATGTTGCAAAGAAAATTTCTGCTAATTTTAGAACTAAAACCATTTTTTAATTTACCTTGATTTCTGATCCCTTTAAGGCGCATTTTCAGCCTTCGGGTTCACGTACAACAGAATACATCCTCATTTGAGCGTAGCCTTTTTGTGAACGTATGCACATCCGGTATCTATGGGCCGATACCTGGCCCTGCGCGCAAACGGCCAACTTAAATTTCGGAAGCGGAATTTCAAACCAGTTTTTTTCAAATTATATTGTAGATTCACGCGATCTTCGAAGTGTACTTTGTTTTCCAAAACGAGGTCAAGTTGCCATACCACTGGTAAGCCTAATACCCGTCCCAAACGAACCAATGTCAGCGGGTCGGCTGTTTCGACGCGATGTAGCCGCGGGTCATCGAGGGAATACTCGGGAGGGAGCATCCCTAAAAATCAGCCTATCGCTTTGGAAAATATCTGAAAATCTATTACAATCAGAGATCAGATTTGAATCACCAGAGTTTCTAAACGATGCCCAGTAATAACTGAGAAAAGAAACCGTATAGCAAGAGCTCGCACTATTTTGGGTCTCTTGTCCAGCGGGGTGTCCATAGAGACTTCTTCTGGCTGGACCCGCCTTTTTTGTTGTTTTCGAATTTTGCATAGAAACCAATGAAGAATCGCGTAAACAACGATTCGGAAGAAAAGGAAAACAGACAAAACAGAATTTTTTTGAAATCCACAAAAATAGGAAATGACCACAGCTATTTCCACGGATAAGCAACTCCATAAAATAGCTGGTAGTTGCGCCTTTTCTAATTATTTAAAGGGAGGCCAATATAGTATCGTTATAGGCTAAAAATTATAGGCGTTTAGCAGATTCATATAACAACCAAAATTGTGAAAATGGGGCGTTCGAGGCGTCTACCGAACGTGGCCACAGCAAATACCTAAACAAGCAAATAGAGCTCCCGTGTGGGCGTGACCAAGGCGAAGATCGACGTTGCCTCCGCCGTAACCTACTCTAAAACCGTAGATCAAAGCCCGAAAATAGCTTAACCAATTTCTGACCACTGAACACTGCGCACATCGATGATCCTTTAAACGAAAAAATTTTAATGCGATAGAGTTGTTCAAGGCAAAATACTTTATCATTTATGCGTTTCGACGAGTTTTTGCGTGTCACACAGCTTCTTGTAGATGTCGTTGCGGCGGAGGAGCTGCTCGTGTGTGCCTTGAAAGAATAAAAGGAGGATAAATCCTTTAAAAATTAAGGTTATTGAAATGTTTCTATCCTCCAAAACGTCGCTTTTGAAGTTTACTTACCGACATCCACAACCCGACCCTCGTGCACGATAGCGATCGCGTCGGCATCCTATAAAAAGTTATAGAGGGGTTTTTCACATTATAGACATTTTTCGGAGAGGTACCTAAAATTGGCTACGAGCCTGCTCATTAGAGAAAATTTTGGCATTACCTGTATTGTGGATAATCGATGTGCGATTACAAGGCAGGTCCGGCCGGCTCGCGCTTTTTCTAGCGCTTCTTGTACGACCTGGCAAAAGTTTAACGTGGTAGGGAATTTTTTAATATCTACCTTTTCACTTTCCGTATCAAGCGCTGATGTGGCTTCATCAAGCAGCAGGATTGCAGGTTTTCTGACGAGCGCCCGGGCGATCGCAATCCGTTGTTTTTGGCCTGAAATGAGAAAATTACTGTATGATAGCTACATTCAAAAAAAAAACTAAATTCAGACGAACCTCCACTCAACTGTGTTCCCCGTTCCCCAACCGGGGTATCGAACCCCTGAGGTAGCCCCGTAATGAAATCATAAGCATTAGCCAGCCGAGCCGCGTCTTCGATCTCTTCTTGGCTAGCTTGTCTAGAAAAAGTATCATGGAAGCAACGACAAGAAACATACCTGTCCATTCCGTAAACAATATTGTCGCGTATCGTACAGTCGAAAAGCGTCGGCTCCTGGCTGACGATGCCCACCTGACTCCGGAGGCTGGGGAGGGAGTATTGGTTGATGGGGGTTCCGTCTAGGCACTGGAAAGAAAAAATCAACGCGTTAACAGAATTAACTAAACTACTAAAAAAACTACTGAAAATTTGCATTGCCCAAAGCTCGGCTCGTCGATTTTCTGTCGAACTTACAATTTGCCCGTAGAGAGGATCGTAAAATCGCTCTAGAAGACTCAGCACCGTACTTTTGCCACATCCAGAATGCCCGACGAAGGCGACTTAAGAAAATTATATATAGCGTTTCAAGCAAGTTGCCTCATGCTCAGTGCCTTAAGGGCGAACAGACAATAGACAATCCTTTAAGGTTTTTCTGTTACAAAAATACTTGTTTGTGGCCCCGAACTGAGCGCTCACCTGTCTGCCCGGGCTTTATCTTCAGCGTCAACCCTTGTAAAATTCTAATTTGTCGCCGTGTCGGGTAGCTAAAGTGCAGATTCTCGAGGCTGATGTTCCCGGTGATCTTCTGAATTTCACAGTTTCCCAAAATCAATACCGCTTCTCACCTTGTCATCGCCCTCCTCGGACAGGTTGTCGATTTTGGTCGGATAGTTGACCAAGTTCATAATCAACGAAGCCGCCAATCGCGTCTTGATGATGTCCGGCATAAAGGTGGCTATCGCGCCGACCATCTGGCCGCAAAACGCCAGCGAGAAGAATACCCTGAAATTGTTTGCTAGCGGCATCGGATCGCTTACAAATTCACGTGTCTAAAGTTTACATTTTGTTAAACGCGGGTTAAAAATCGACAAAATCAGCCCTTACGGAACACGTTTACTCCTAGACCATAGAGTTAGCTTTAGGGCTTCAGGAATTCGACCCTACCTGTAGACCTCAATAGGTTGCATCGTGAGATCCATGACAAAAAGCGCCCCAATGAAGAAAGCAACGGAATACATGAAGAAAACGATCGCCTGCGCGATGCCAAACACGAGACCGTAGAAGTGCGATCCCCGCACGTTCGCCCTAAAATGGTTCCTGAACCTTGAGAGCCCGGACCAACCTGTGCGGTTTGTCAAGGTGCGCGCAGTAAAGATCGTTGAAATGTTGTTGCTTGTTTAGTGCCTGCACAGTTCGAATGTTATCAACGGCCTGCAGTGCAACTTTTCCGGCTTCTTCCAATTGACGGGCGTCGCGTAGCTTGTTGCCCAGCTGAAATGGGTGTGTAAAATCATTTCGGACACGGATATTGTTTTTATTTTTGGCCCACCTGCATTCTCATCTCGACTGCCTGGGCAATGATGATGACCGGCAGGAATGGGATTACGCAGAGCGCCAATTTCCAGCCGAAAATGAAGGCCAGCATCAACGAGCCGATGATGGTCACCGACGAGGAGGTGACAAGCGGCATTCGGGTAAAAACCTGCAGAAAAAATCAAGGTATCCATCAAAAGGCTTACATATCGCACGTTTGGCGCATCGGTGGCCAAGCGGGTGCATAACTTTCCGGTGCCGTTCTTTTCGTCGTCAAAAAAGCCTAAAAAACGTGATTATAATGGGCTGGATTTTAATTAGGAAAATCTGAAAGACCAAGATCAAATCCAGGGACGGAAATATGTAATGTCCCAAAAAATACATGGGCAATAACTCACCGATATCCTTGGCCATCAACGACTTGAAAACCAACTCCCTGAGCCCGGTGGTACAGTCCTCGCCGGCCATTCCGCACATTGTATTCTAAAGGGGCCCCTCGATACCGTAGCCCCCTCGCTACCTACCGAAAAGATAGCCCCGGTACAGTGGAAGCAGCCCAGCACGATGAAGGCGAGAGCCCAGAAGTGGACCGAGTCGACGATTTGATCGACTGGTTGCGAGAAGACCTGAAAATCAGCTTACGACATTTTGATCCAACCTAATTGTCCGTTTTCTTACTAAAAAGCTTAAAAAACAATGGTTTGTCCTCTAACGCAAACGGGTCAGTCGCCTACCTGGAAAATCTGGGCGTAGAGGATCGCAAAAACTGGAGTACAGCATCCTATTAGTGCACCGGCCGAGTAGCCGATGGCCAGCTTTGGGATTGCTTTCCTAAAAAAATTTGCATGAAATTTCGGGTGCTAACCCACTTATTAAAGGTAAAGATTTCCAGGAAGGACATCGGCTTCAGTTTGGCTTCCCTGAAAGCGGAAGGCATTAGGACGCTTCCAAAAACTGATCAGAAATTCTCCATGAAAAAGCCCTAAAAACCCTTACTTTGCTTCGGCCTCCACCTTGGCCAAATCGTCGACGGTGGTCTCGTCGATCATCTCGAAATCTTTGGCTGAGCGCGTGATCGATCGTATGCTTTCTCTAGAATGTTTCGGCATTTTTGATGATCCCAAATTCGCACCTATTAGAGTCCGATCTGGAAAGGGTCCTCGTTCTCGTCCTTTTTCGGATGGTCGTTTCCGTTTCGGCTTCTGAGATTTTAACACTTTTTTAAATCTTATATGTATGTATTTGTTTATGTTATCTAATCCAGCCTTTGTAAAATGCTATAAAACACTAACCAGCCTCTTTCGTAGCCTTTTCCTCCAGCGACCGCAAAAGTTGCGCTTGTACCATCTGGTGGAAGGCTCCCTGAAAGGGAATAGAAGTCAAAAAGCGTATTCACATACTTTTCTCATGATCAGCTCCTCGTGGGTGCCCTGCTCGATGATGTGGCCGGCCTAGGCAATCATGACATTTAACGTTATGTGGATTACTTTGAAGACAAAAATCTGATCAGCGTCTCGGATGGTGGCCAATCTATGGGCCACGATGAATACGGTGCGGCCAGTTTGAGCCTGGAAAGTTTGAAAGAAGTTGTTGCTCAGAAAGTTTTATCATATGAGCTGGGTAAAACCCTGCGATTCTCCCTCCCTCCCTTCTCTCTCTCTCTCTCGCCTAAAACATACTTGATCCAGGGCTTTTTGGACAACGGCCTCACTCTCCGTATCCAACGCTGACGTCGCCTCATCCAACAGCAAAATCTGTGGATTTTTCACGAGCGCCCGAGCGATGGCTATCCGCTGTTTTTGACCTGAATCTCAAAGTCAGTGTGCAGCCCCAGGCCTTCAACCTCCGCTCAACTGCACTCCACGCTCGCCGACGCGAGTCCCAAGCTGGTCCGGCAGTTTTTCCACGAATCCCCACGCGTTTGCCTGAATCCAATGATAAAAAGTGCCCACAAGGGCGTGCTAAGTCTGCAAGCGTCACTGCGGCCGTAAAAACGCGAATAAAATCTTACCAGTTTACAGGCGTGAATGGCTTCATCTTCGGTCACGCCATCCCGACCCATTTGAATATTTTCCAGTAGGGAACCATCGAAAAGGACCGGTTCCTAAAATGTTTTAATTTTAAAGGGGCTCTAAAACGTGGTCCACGGCCCCCCGAGTTGATTCCTGGCAATCAGCCAGATGCGGCCGCAACGCGACCGCGCCGCATGATCTTTTGCGCCTGGTTGGGCGTAAAAAAGCTTGCATTTAAAAAATTCTGACGCTATTTTCGGAATCCTCACCGAATTTTGTTCATTCTAGACTTTTTAATTATGAAAATTGACCGGAGAATCATCGAGATCGAGAGATTGGGTACCTTACAAGGCATTACGACATGTAATCGCCGCGCACTTAATATGTCGTTTTCGCCCCAAAAAGAATTCGGTTTTACACAAATATTTTACGTTTTTCGCAATCAAATTGATTTTCTGGTACTCCTCGGCAGTGACATTTTCGTTTTTTGACCAGTAGGTTCAATCCCGGCATGCACGAACTTTGACTTCGTCGGGAAAACACTTTTAGGTACACGGTCTCCTTCGAAATCTCGTAGCTCGCCGTTCTCTTGTGAGTACGCATTGATACTGTTCGCACGAAGACACTAACTGCCATATCCCTGGCGTACACTGCAGAGAGCATCGCCTTTTCGTTGCACCCACCTGAGAAACAATTCCGATTTGATCGCGCAAGCACCGGACGTTCAATGTCTTCAAATCAATCCCGTCGATCATTACCTACATTGAAACCTTGCACTACAAATGCCTAAACACCTACCGTACCCTCTTCGGGGTCGTAGAAACGGAGCAGCAGGTTGACGATCGTGCTCTTCCCACAGCCCGAAGCGCCGACGAGCGCTATTTTCTGCCCAGCTTTTGCTTCCAGCGAAACCCCTTTCAGGATCTTCAGACAAGGTTTTGAGCATCAACCATATCAAATCGTTACCTGGATTTCCGGTCGAGACGGATAGCGGAATTTCACGTTCTTGATGTGGATGTTACCTAAAAAAATTGCAAATAGATGCTGATCAGTATAAGAATTTAATCAACCTACCTTGAAGATCCGTTTTCTTGATTCCTTCTTCAGAATATGGATCGATGGTGGGGACCTGAAAGCTAGGTTTAAAATTGATGGGCAGATTTAATATAAGATATAGAAATAAGATATGACCAATAGGATAAAAATAATACCCTTAAAACCCGAGTATAGTTCCGGTATACTTTGGCGACGTACCAATACAAATGACGCTCAAATAACGTGCGTCGCCGCCCTCTTGCCGCAAAAGCTATGTAAGACAAAGGAAGCGGTTCTTAAGATTTCTTGCATCAATTTCTTTTGTGGTACCATTCAAAATGTTGGAAATAGTCGAAAAGTGAGCAGATCTGCACTCGAAATTGCAAAAATACCTTTTGCACAAGGTCCTTTGCAAGAAACCGAAAAAACGAAGCACACCTATTTACGGTCATACGTAATCACGGATGCGAAGTACGTTTCACCCGGAACTATACTCGAGATTTTAGGGTAATCATAAAAAGACATTTTCTGCTCAGCTACCGTACCCACCCTTGCAATCGTGTCGACCACTTTGTTCAGTGCTCCCCAACCAGTAGACACAACAGTAATGAAGGGTAGCGCCGTGCTAAGGGCCGTCGAACCCGACATCACCGCGAAAAACACCGAAAAATTAGGGAAATGATTACTGAAGATCTTCAATTACCGTGAAGACCGTACCACGGCTGGTCACCGTATTCTCGGCAATTAGCTTTCCTGCGTACCTGAATTGGAGGTTAGTCGATATTTTCTAGATACACGCGCTAATCTATGCACTATAAATGCTATATATAATATTTTATAATTTTGATAGGGCTATGAAGTCATAGAGAATAATTTGGCTCCCGCCCGCTGACAATCCCCCCACCCGCTAACAGTCCAGAACCAAATATTTTATGAATAATTCGTCGAAACTAGTAAAGGGTTTCCTCGCAACAAAAATTTCTTTCTAACTCGGGACGCAGAAGTATCGGATCGGAATCGTAGTTACACCATTCGAAAGCCTCTGGAACGACGAGTTTGCAACAATTTTCTAAAACCATTATTTTTGCGCTCTTGCAGAAAGCTAGAGCAGCCACTTAAAAACCATTTCTCGAATTTTATGGTTAGTCATGTTGGGCGGGAGCCACTTTGTTACAGTTTCTTCCCGTAAAACGACCAGCAGAAGCCGTTATCATCGGCGGTAAGTAGCTTTCGCCCCTCATCGTTTTGAAATGTTTTGTAAAAACGGTGAGCTTTGAAACAAAATATGAGTATCAAGTCTGGTGCAAACTCGTCGTTTTTGCTTTGGCTGTCGAATGGGGTAAATTTGATTCCGATCCGATCGTTCTGCGTCGAGTTAGATGCGGGGTGTGCTTTTTTTTTGCTGGGGATGCCCTGTACATTCCACACCCATAAACACCCACCAAAAATGTGTTTTCATGCCGAGCCATAGCGACAGAGATGCATAAACCCAATCGAGATGCCGATCATGAAATATTTGGGCAGGCTGGCCTTTCGCGACTCCTTCCATGCAGACGGCAAATCTGAAGGAGGTTCGTTTTGCCATGGCGGTGATTTCCCACCCGGTAGCTCCTTCTTCTGTGGCGTTCAGCGCTCGAATTGTGCGCATCGACGACAGGGCCTGTTCAGCGACAGCACCCGCCACCGCGTACTTCTCCTGCTCGATTTGGGTCCTGGAAAGTTCTAAAATTTCGCCGAGCCCCTCAAGTAAGCACCGGTCTGCGTGGAACGATTTGAAAGGCCCTGAGGGCGGACAGATCGGTGGCATCGAACGCCATCAGCGATCAGCGCCATCGTCCAGTTGTAGTGGGAGCCGATGATGAACGACGCGACAAATGCCAAGATATTCTGGAGGGTGGGCTGAGTACCGTAAAGCCTTGATACCTGTAGCAGCATCGAAAATTAATGGCCGAATGTCCCGCGGACACGTTCGAGGTCGCTGGAAATTTTAGGTAATTGAGTGACTGCGCAGGGTGAGTGCAATCGACGACTTTGACTTTGCATGCTGATACGCTTCGGTTAAGCTTTGGCTTAAGTTTAGGTTTAGGCTTAAGTTTAGGCTAAAGCGTAGGACTTAGGTTTCTCCTAGAGCACGACCGAACTGCACAAGCGGAAACAAAAAAACAGTCTCACTCAGTCAGTCGGCTCGTCAATTTTTGGCTCCGTTTCTGAGAACCAGGCGATCTCCTGGCGCAGCACCGAGCGCAGGTACCGTAATCGCATCCGGTGTACGACGCGCTCGCAAAGCGTCTCTGAAACAGGCAATCTAAAAATAAGGTGCGGTGATCCGGAATGAGAAGAACGAATTGCAAGGGCTATTTTCGATCTTTAAAATGTCTGCCAAAATTAATATATTCTGGAAAATAGGATGTTATAAAATTGTGATAACACCCAGTGACGCAAAGTAGAAACTGAGGATATTAACCCGTGTTGGAAGTCTTCTCGAGAGAATTTTTAGATAGTTTATTGTGTCAGGGTACCGACTAATTAGATGTCGCGAAATAGCTTTGCTCGTCGGTGCTCGCCTGGGATCCATGGGGAGTTCTTAAAGTGCAGGAATATGTTCTTTGTCATGGCGTCGTAAAGAAAGTGCTTGTGGATATGTTGGAGCGAATTCGAACTCGCCAAATCAAAGCCTTTGGGGAGATCAAATGATCACTGGCAAATTGCAGAGCGACTTTCGCACTCTTATTCTTGCGCGAAACTGTTCTGCCCGGCCTTCAGGAAACACTATAATCGCGCATTCTAAGCCCATTTTTGAAAATTTCACTCAATTTAAAATAGTTTTGCAGTTTGGATCAACAAATTTGAACTAGAAACAACCTGAGTGTGTTCCGATCGGAGGCCACAACAGGCAATTTCGAAATTGCGCACTCCCGCGCCCCTCGGCGCACAAAGGCTCTGACGCATAACAATGTCTACGTACTGGGGGTCGGTAATTCAATTTTTGGGCATTCGTTTTTTCTTATAAGTTTTGCCTCTGGGGGGCATTACTCTTTGGGAGTTTGTCTTACCTAAAACCACGGAAAGAAGCGGTTTTCCAGCGTCATGGATAAAGCGCCGAGATGCCGCCTGACAACTTCACGCAAATAGCCACGTTTCTTGAGGTAGGAGAGCTAGAACATTTTTTTGGAAACGTTTGAAGCTGGGTGCATAACATTAATTATCTGGAAAATGCGACCAGATACGCGTACAAAACTTACGATGCCGTCGATTCCCTCGCCGATTTTTTGCCGCATTTTTTCCAAAGGGCCAAGTCGAGCGAGGCTAGGGGAATTGGAAATAGAATAACATGGGGGAAGAAAGAATGAAGAAAACAAAATAAAAACATGCTATTTTTTTTGGTAAGCGTTCGATACTTGAAACTATTCTCTGAAAACTCAGAACCCAGCGCCGTCCTGTTAGCTTGAGGGCGCCAGCAGTAGAATCCTCAGTCTCCAGGGCTATTTTGGTTCGGGGGTGCCGGTCAGGCACAGGCCAGAATATTGAAATACGAAAAGTGCTTTTTCGACTGGCCGTCTGAGAGCTTTCGCATAGATACAAAAATCAGTCAAAATTGAATACTTCAGGAGCGTGGGGTTATTTCGGACATCCGGTATAATAATTCAGCTGAAACAATCCAATCTTTTCATGAAATCTTCCAGTACACACCGCTAAGTAACGCTTCAACAGCACCGCCTGAACCTGAAGAGTAGCGCCACAAAATCATCATTATCGAGACGAGGCGTGAAAATGAGCGTCGCCTGGTATGATCCCGAAGATCCCAGAAAGGTGACAAAATGTGGATAGGGGGCAGAGAAACATGATTTCAAGCATATCGGATGATGAGGGCGCCAGGGAAATGTGGGACCATTTCTTTTCGAACGCTTTTTAAAGTGGTGGAGAGACGAGATAATACTGATAAAGATAAGTCTTTTTCGGTTCTTTCGCATTATCCCCTGGGGGGAACTGACATTTTCGGCATGGGTCTGGAAATGCCTAGTAGCTTAATAGAAAGTATCCTAATATTTTTTCTCAGTGATATATAGAACTATAATTCAATCGAAAACGATCTAAAAGCGTGAAAATTTTGAAAAAAGTGTAAGACATTTTGATTGTAAAAAATCGCCGTTTTTGGGGGAAAAAATCGATATTTTTTCATAGGAATTTGTAAAGTTTTTGTGTTGGACGAATAGTACCAACCATTTAGAAACACTTCCAATATTTATATTTGCAAAATTAGATCCTAGGAGAAAGTTTGTTCCCCCGTCGATAACGCGAAAGATCCGTCTTTTAAATCAGAAAATTTGGCGCCGGGTGTTATTCTCGAAGCCGAATCGCGATCCGAAATTAGATGAAGATTCATCGATCGAAAAACCAATAAATCTGCATGTTTTGGGGAGACGCTTCGATATCTTCCGTACTTCGCGTGCTGTCTCGGCAATTCGCATCGCAGTGATTCGGGATGCGACGCAGCTGAAATGAGATGCATTGTTCAAAAAACACAACGGAATCCAAAACCCCGCGGCTCCTCGCTCGACCTCCCTCGCCCGCCCCCCGCCCTCGACTCGGCGTCCCTGGGCTCAACAATGTGCTTACAGGGTTTTCAATTATCCCAGAATGCTCGCCACACAGCATGATGAGCATTTTGAGAAACTCGGCAGAACCCCGTCGGCCCATGGAAAGTCTTAGTATGGAAGTTGAGGGTTGGCAGGAGAGGGGCAAACTGCGTACTACAAAGAAACCCCATGTCGACATCGATAGCCATAGACAGATGTCTGAGTCGAACTCGCAAAACATGATCTGTCTGGAAACGGGATCAACTTAGCAGAAATTGAGTCAGCCGTTGACATTCAAAGCGTTTTACGTCCAAACAGGGGCAAAAGTTCATGCGGCGCGGTCGCGTTGCGGCCGCATCTCGTTATTCGCCAGGAACCAACGCAAGGGGCAACGTGGACCCGATTTCGGGGCGCATTTAATTTACACGCACACTTTAACTCCCTTTTTTAACTTTCTGTTTAAAGGGCTGCCGACGGCATGTGTCGATCCCCCATCAACAAAATTGCAAGTAGCCAACAGGGGGAGAGCGCGCCCAGGGGAGAGGCGCAGAGACATTTTCTTTACCGCGCGTAACCGATTCGCTATGCCGTCGGCATCCCTTTAACGTACCCTCCGGCATTTGTAGGTTACAGTTCTCGCCGTCGTCCTGAGGTCGCAAATGCAGGCGTTCGTCCGGAAGTTCTGATAGCCATTGCCGGAGCAGTGGAGGCTGAACGGGCCGATGTCTGGGAGATGGGGTGGGGAAACTGACATGTGCATTGTACGGGCACGGCCCACATCACGACCCAATATCACCTCCTCACCCACCAGTACACCGCCGTGACTTTCTGAAAATCCATCCATTTGTAGGCTGCTGCCTTTTTGGGTTCTGGACTGTTACGGGGGGGATTTTTAGCAGGGGGAAAACCACTTTTGTTTTTTTACCTATACCTACCTGTTGTTGATGTATTATCTGTTTTTTTAATATTTTTATTAGTTTTTGACTGCTAAAAAGTTAGCAAAAATATTTTAAAAATTCTTGAAAATTCTGAATTATTGACTTTCTTGGCCATTTTTCGAAAATTTATTATGTTTTTATATTGTTTTTATATCTAAAAACTATGTAAAATGCTATGTAAAAATATGGTTTATATCAGTCCATAATATTTTGCTGTAGTCTCCGTCCGTCCGTCTGTCGGAAGCCGAATTCAACTCGAAGGGGTAAATGAGCTAGAGCTTAGCTCTCTTCGGATTCGGATAGAGCGTGGTCAGAAACCCCAAACTGATAAAAAAATTATGAAAAAGTTTTTGTTTCTTAAATTATTAAAAAATTAACTTTGAAAGTTTTTCCTTAGTAAAGGGGTGGGGGCCCCTCTCCCGGGAGGCCACGCCCCCTTTCCCTTCGCCCTCTCCCCAGGCCCTCTCATGGCCGAGATAGCTTTTTTTGCTACTTTAATACTTTTAATACCTTTACTTTTTAATACTTTTTAATCATCGTTAATCAATTATTTAAATCATCTAATGCTTATCGGGAAGGTATTTAGGTAGTTTTAGAAGGATTTCTTCTATGGGGTTATCCAAGCCCTCGGAAGGTATTCAGGTTAGTTTTGAACTGGATTTCAGCCATGGGGGGCATCAGATGGAGGTGGGAAAGGATGTGGTGGAGTTGGACATGTAGGTAGCCCGAAGGCCAGATGGTTGCAGTCGCGAAGCGACTGTAACCATTATGGGGACCGGGCAGAGACGCAGAGTTCTGTCTGCGTCTCTCCTCTGGTGCTCGCCTCTTCTCTTCCTGCCGCGGCGCACCCGACCGCGACGCTTCCAAGAATCGTGGAAAAGGGCTTGCCTGCCAGACGCCCTTTAAATATAGTTGCTTTAAATATAGACTTGCTAAAAACACTATAAAACATTTTTTTTGTTAAGCTACTAGACATTACGAAAATTATACAAAAAATTCGTTTCCTCCCCCGATACTGCGAAAGATCAGATGCTCTTTTCACTTCATATCACATAGCAAATAGGCTTAGTGCGAGGCTAGGCTAAGATTAAGCGTGGGCTTCAGCTTATTTTTAGACAAAAAAATTCTGAACAAACCGGTATAGACGATAGTTTTCGGACGTGCATGTAGTAATGTAGGCACGAGCAGCAATATTATGGCCCGCATTTAGATGGGGGTGAGGCGCGTATAAAGTGCGGAATATGGAATTGTTATCAGGTTCTCTCTCTCTCTCTCTCTCTCTCTCTCTCTCTCTCTCTCTCTCTCGCGTCCCGGGAATAGCCTCAGGGCACACCGACTACACAAATTATTTGCTCCACGCTCGCCGTTTCACTATTTGTGCACAATCGCCTCCCGGTTTTGTCGTTCGTTTCTTCTTATTGGTTGTTTGATGCCGTGGCTGAGGAAATACTCGCATTCTCCTAACAGCGTTTTTCAAGAAAAAAAAATCATTTTTGGTACTTTCGTATTATGGGGGGCATTTTTAGGGCCTCCCAATTTTTGGGAAGTCGGTCCACGTCAAAGCAGGGTCTGTTTCATCAAGCGTTGATAATGGATTGGGGGAAAAGGGCCTGCCCTTTCTCGAACCCATTGACCTGTTGGCTCATTGGTTTTGTGTTCGCTTGCGGCGCACAAGGTCCGGGTTCGACCCCCCGGCCCTCGCAAGGCTTTTTGCTTTTGATAAAAAGCTAGAAGTTGTATCTTTCTT